ACTGAGGCTGCTACAGAGATAGAAAAATGTATTAAGATTTTGTTATTTGATATTTTCTGTCCTGTCTGCTGAGTAGGGATATAGTGATGCTGCCTTGTAGACCAGGAAACATATATTTTGCAATGTATACAACACAGAAAGTTGTTTAAAGATTTCAAAATCTTATGCTAATTACAGTATAAATTTCAAATTATCAGTGATAATGGGCAAAGTTATATTCTTCCTGGTAGAATCAAAAATAGATTCCTCTATGCTTTCTTTAAAGGTTGGGTGACAGTAATAGACATTAGGAAGATGGAAAGTGCCATTTGGCATTTACTTCTGAGTAAACCTGATGATTCACTGTAAGATCTGCTATCTGACACAGCATTAATCAGCGATCAGAGCATCATTTACATCCAAACAAAGGCCAGCAAGTCCCTCGGAGCAAAAATAAACCACATTCGGCAATATTTCCTGCATTACCCTCCTTCCCAACCTTTAAGTAGAACAGCTTGTGGATTTCCTAAAATGTTAAGTGATAGAGTCACTATGTACTGCAGGCAAATCCAGTAAAATAAATGTTAGAAAGCAAGAATATATATTTATTATTACCTCCTACACAGCAGAAACACACATTTGAACATTTTAGCATTCTTTGCATTTTATAGAAGTTATGTCAGCTGTTTTTAGTTGTTTATAGTTCCCCTAAATTGTTCTTTATCTCTTACAGAAGGTTTGAGAAATAGGGAGACTTGAAATTATATAAGTATGAACCTCAGCATCTAAATGACTATCCAGGTTGGCCAGAGGATCCTCAGCAGCGACCTTACCAAGGCAAAGACAAAAGGCTTTAGAGTGGCCAGGATTAATTTAAAGCTAAAAGTAGGAACTAGAAAACAGCAGAACAAAATTAGTCAAATATTTCAGGCCGGAGAGGAACACAACCCCTCTGCCCCCGAAATAAGTAAAACCATGTACCGGACAAAATACAGGCTCGTATAGGAACAAATGTAGCCAAGCAGGCCAGAGTCAGGATTATGGACTAGAACAGGTCGATGAACAATCCGCAAATACGATACACAAATACAGTAGATCAAGAATTTCCAGAGCATAATAAGCTGGGTCAAGCAATGAAACAAGATCAGGACAAAAATATCACTAGGATTCTGGAACCTTAAAACGGCTCGGCGGAACCATAAGGCTCTCCTAAAACAGGGATCAGAATATCAAGTGGGTAATAAATAAAACCGATAATAGTCTGGAATCACCCCAGCATATCAGGTTCCATGGCACAACATTATCAACTGGGAATCAGGGGTTCATGTCCCACCAGAGGTAGGTTTCTTGACAATGACTCCTTAAGGTAAATGTATGTATTGTTCGCTATGGAACCAACTTTTTGCTCTTTAGAGTGGACCATTGCCAAGATGTGACAGAGTGCAATGAGCAGTCCACATGTAGACTAACAGCCAGTGTTATTACTTCATTCAAGAGCAGTTATATACTGATAACAGAGCAAGACTGAGATAGTAGAAGTGCAGTGCTTACATTGGAGAGCATTTGTTTAGGGTTTGGGAGGGGTTAAATTAAGGGTTATGAAAATGTGATGTTTAGGGTAAAATCATGTGGAGTTTGGGGGGTTATTTGCAAAGTACTCACCCACTTATGATTGATAGTAGAACTGCAGGAGTTGTTATACATTATGCATTGCACAGTGCTGTCCCTGCAAGGCATTTCCTGTGTTAAAGGCTGGTATTGGGCGGATGGGAAGTGATTCCTTCCATTTCCTGTCCAACCACACACACAGACTCTGGAGGAGCTGAGACAGCAGTGAGTTTTACACCCTCTATAGCAGTTCATGTTGCTCTCCTATTAGACATCCTGCTTGCTCGGACTAACTGGAATACAGACAACATAAACAAAGTGATTGTACTCCTAAATGGCATTGAGCAATGAGATTACTATACACCAAAACTACTTTATTGGGCTAAAGTTGTTTTGAGGGTTAGCAAGTTCCTTCAATTATTATGTTTTAATTTTGATTCAAAATAGAATAAAAATTACAGACCGGAAAATGTATGGTACAGAAATCATGAGTAAACCCATCAAAACATTAACATGATGTCAGGTAAATGGTCAGAGTATTGAAACCCAACTCATTTATCTCTACTGCCCTTGAGTAAGATGGTTCAGCTTGAACTGTGATCAACACACTTCCCAGGCATTGCCTGTTTCTTCACTTATGGAACACTATAGTGTTAGGAATACAAAATTATATTCCTGACACTATAGTGTCCCTCCGCCTCTAACATGTTAAGGGTTAAAAACCCTTTAATTCACTTACCTGATTCCAACTCTGAGGTGCCTCGGTGCTGGATCGCGAGTCTTCTACCTCGAAGTCCATTATGGGGAGGACTTAACTTGCATGCGTTGCGTGTGCATTGGTGCTTTCCTATATGAAAGCATCGAATCAGTGCTTTCCTATGAGGTTTTTCATGACTTTCAACATCTTCATGCAAAGCGTGAGGATGTCCAGTGTTGTTTCAAGGAGTAAAACTCTGTGAAACACCTGGTAGAGCCTCTAGTGGCTGTCTTCCAGAGGAGTTAGCCCTGCAATGTAATTATTGCAGTTTCTCAGAAACTGCAAACTTTAACATTGAAGTGTTAAGGGGAACAGGGACACTGCACCCAGACCACTTCAATAAGTCTGGGTGCAGACTCCTTAATCCCTTAAGGACACATGACATGTGTGACATGTTATGAATCCTTTTTATTCCAGAAGTTTGGTCCTTAAGGGGTTAAAGGGAGTGGCACAGCACTAGAGTATTGAAGGCATCCAATTCCATCATTATTTATTCCTCTCCATCCCCAGTTTCCATGAGGATTGAGGAGCCAGGGCTTCTCATGTCCACTACTCTATATTCTTAATTTGTCACCAGTGGTGGAACTACAGTGGTCGCAGCTGCGACTGTGCTTGTCACTTCAGGGGGCCCGGCCGTCCTGCTGACCTCTGCAGCTGGGGTGCCCACCACCCATGTAATGCGACCCCAACCCGTGCAGTAAAACCGCTGAGGCCACATTAAAGGGCTAATCGGGAGGTCCATGATGTTAGGGCCATCCGATGGCAATGAAAGTCACCCTCCTGCACCTAAAAGGTTGGAAACAGGAGGGTGACTAAAATATTTTGTATGTGTGTCTGTCTGTATGTATGTGTGTGTGTGTGTGTTTGTATGTTTGTGTGTGTGTGTTTCTAGTTATGCCTCTGCTTCTCACTATCCACCAAACGAACATAACTTACAGATAATGGGTCTTCCCCGGTTGCTACAGGTGCTAGGGACTAAATAGCGGGTTTATGGAACACAGAAAACTGAATATAAGTTACAATTTTCTTTAGTTACTTTACTGTGTCTGACACCAGTGACCTCAGTAACTAAATGACAGTAAAATCATTAAATTATTGGAAATGATTCAATGTACGGCTTGGATTCACACTTTAATCTTTGCGGGTAGTATCTGTAGCCTTACTCTGTGTAAAAAGCTGTGTAATAACTTGACAGCAGTTCAATATTTGTTGGTTGGCAGCCTTGGCAAAGGAATTGCTATAGTGGGCCAGTTAAAAATTCAAACTACACGTAAACTCTTGCATCAACAATCATGGTTAAATCCTTCATTTATTGCATACTGTACGCACGGAAAGGGTTTGTCTAGCTAACAATTGTGAAGCCGGATTTATCACAAATGGCTATTTTTTTTTTTTGCATGTTTTATGTAGAATATAACACTTTGTTCAGAACTGTGGATTTTTCTAAATTATTTTTTTTAAATAAAGATTTAATTTTTCCAGTTGTTTTTGAATGTTAACCCCTTTAACCCTTAAGGACAGAGTCAATTGTACACGTTCTGATCAAAACAAACATAAACAAAACCTGGAATTTGCGCTATATGTCTGTTCAACTGTAATTCACCTCTTTCATATTGGGTGCACCCACACTTATTATATATATTTTTTTCAGGAGAAACAGGGCTTTCATTTCACATCAACTATTCATATATAACAATTTATTATGAAAAAAGTGTGAGAGATTTTTTTTTTCCAGTTTTGAATGGCATTTTAACTGTGAATGTCATAATACTGTTCATTTCCACTGCAATAAAATACACATATATGTATTCAGCGATGTCTCACGTAGCATTTTTCCATTTATACACTTTGAAATTTGCCAGATTAGTAATGTTGCATTTGAGACCGTATCATAGCCCAGGAATGAGAATTACCCACATGATGGCATACCATTTGCAAAAGTATAGAGCCCAGGGTATTCAACATGGGGTATGTCCAGTCTGTTTTAGTAGCCACTTAGTCACAAACACTGGCCAAAGTTAGCGTTAGCTACTAAAATAAAAGACTGAACATACCCCATTTGCAATACCTTGGGTTGTCTACTTTTGCAAATGGTATGGCATCATTCTCATTCCTGGGTCCTACTGTCTCAAAGGCAACATCACCAATGGAAAATTTCAATGTGAAAAAAACTGAAATACAAGTATAACTTTCCAAAACACCATAAAACCTGTACATGGGGGGTACTGTTGAACAGTAAAACTTATTACAGCAATAATATAATTCGTGAAATTGCCATTTGTGCATGAAAAATGCAAAAAACTTCCCTTTCACTGACAATATAATCGTTGTAATACAATTTACAGTTTTGAAACACTAATATCTGTGTTCAGCAAAGTCTCCAGAGTAAAACAGCACCCCCCATGTACAGGTTTCATGGTGTCCTGGAAAGTTACAGGGTTAAATATAGTGCTCGCAAATTAAATTCTCTGGACTTTGTGCCTGGGTTGTCAGGCACATCCCTCAAATTTTAATTAAGTAAATCACATAATTATGTTAAAAGATTATAGAAATATACACGTAGAATTTGAATATATATACATATATATGTATTTAAATTCTATGTGCAATTATATGTGTTTATTTATATATAGATATATAAAATGTCATTCTAAGTGTATTTTGTTACCTCTCTCTCTCTCTCTCTCTCTCTCTCTCTCTATATATATATATAGAGAGAGAGAGAGAGAGAGAGAGAGAGAGAGAGAGAGAGAGAGACTTTCTCCGCTGGTAATCCAAGAATTGCTCAGGACCAAGTAGTTAACACAGAAAGCACAGCATAAGCAGTAAATAAAACAATCCACGAATATCCCATCACCTCTCCCAATAACTGGATGACACACAGCATCAGGAGCAGAACTGATGTTTAATGCCACATGCCCTGCTTTTATGCAACTCTCCCATGCAAGGGAGATACCCACAGAAAATCATACATTAACCAATCACATACTGGTTACAGCCCACACATCCCCCACCCCCCCTCAGCGAGATAACAATTTCAACACACATTTTTCCCCGTTTTCCAGATGTACCCCAAAGACACAACATACACCCCTAAATTATATATATATATTTAATATCAAAATACAGTTAGAATACAGGAGATGCCTCCGTGGGCATTTGAGGGCAGCATTTTTTGCCACCCCCTAAAAAGTGCCGCTCAAGGCAAATGCCTAGTTTGCATTGGGCTAAATACATCCCTGAGTATAATAGGTGACAACTATTCTGATGTGACATTTTAATTTAAAGCATTAGTGCATAAAAACTGTGTATATGTAGTTTAATGTTTCAATAGCGTCCAAATTAATTTTAATAACAAATTTTTGCTTTCATTGCAATATAATATATTCTAAAATTTGACCTTCTCCCTGCATGGCTACTCCTCTTCTCTCTTCTTTTTAACCACTTTATAATGTGTGATATGTCAGAACATTTATATCAAGGGAGTTCTATATGCTGATGTCTAGAAGGGGTTAAAACACAGTAATTTATATGATGAAAAAATATGTATTAGGAGTATCAAAACATGCATAACATGTTCTACAATTATATCACCTTTGCTTGCAGTAACAATATAAGCGATGTCTAAATGTTAAGCAGGGGTAGGCAACTTTTGGCATTCCAGATGTTGTAAATATTATAAAACTTAAATAGTTATTCTAACTCCAACTAAAAACCAGTGTGTAAGAACTGTTAATAACTATTTTTGGCCAGAGTAACCCTTCTTATACAGTCCCTCTCCAAAAAGTGAAAAAGTAAGAAAGAAAGGCCAAGTTCTTCCAGCAGCCCAATCCTCCTCAGCTGATATCACTGCGCCTCCCTGGAGGGGGATTGTCATCAGGGAGGATGGGATGAGGGGAAGGACATAGAAAGGGTAACTAGAAAGCATGCTGTGCATCAAATTTGTACAGAAAAGGGATGTGGAGTGGTTAGCAGAAACAGAGTAATTACTTTATAAAAATAAAACCGTTAAACAACATAAAATATATTTTAAAATCTGTTACCACAGCCATGATTGTGTTCTGCATTAATTTTTGTTACCAAATCGCAAAGAATATTAAAGGGACACTACAGTCACCAGAACAACTACAGCTTAATGTAGTTGTTCTGGTGAGTATAATCATTGCCTTCAGGCATTTTCATGCAAACACTACCTTTTCAGAGGAAACGCAGTGTTTATATTGCCTCTAGGGACACCTCCAAGTGGCCACTCCTCAGATGGTCACTGGAGGTGCTTCCTGGCTCAGTGCTGCATAGTAGGCAGCACTGCCGTTCAGCGTCTCCACACTCTGCACGGGGAAGCTGAATTTTCCTCATAGAGATGCATTGGTTTAATGCATCTCTATGATGAAGTGCTGATTGGCCAAAATGGCATTTGGCACCATGGGAAAGCATTGGATTGGCAAAAAATCAGCAATTCTGGCGGTCACCAGGGGGGCGGGGCCAGCACCAGCGGACCCCTGCGGCGCTGGAAATAAGGTAAGTTTTATTTCCTTTTAAGGGGGCTAAGTGGGGCAAGCCACCTAAATGATGGGTTTAGCACTATAGGGTCAGGAATACATGTTTGTGTTCCTGACTCTATAGTGTTCCTTTAATTTGACTTAATCAGATCAAGTAAAACCCAATTCTTTGTTTTTTTATTAGCAGCTGACTTAATACCAGATGTACAGTGATGCATTCAATTTATCTTCCACTGGACAAATTGTCAAATTTAGCAATTTTTTTTCAACTTGGCTATTTTGGCCTAAATGTTTCTTGTAATTTTTTTTTTTTTTACCATTTCTGCTTTAATGAACAAACCCTTTTGAATTTTGTTTGGCATAGATATGCAGAACTGGTATAAAGACTTTCAGCTGCCAGGTACAGACAATGAATTACTTAGCTATGTAGAAGTTTGCGTATTTTTGTTTATATTACCCATGAAATGACCACAGGATTGGTAATGAGATTTTTTTAATATAAGAATTATATTATGGCACCATAATACTATGTATCGTATGGTATGCATCCACGTATGATGTTTTGTCATTAGCAACTGTTGTATATAATATATTAATAATACTTGGCAAGATGAGTATACAGTTTGCACAGGCCGAGGGCTTCTCCTAGGATCCAGTGTAGGCATCTTCCTACCCTATAGACATGTCTGTTTGGGTTTCAAGTCATGGCTCTGTTAAGTCACCACCATACATTGCAAATAAAGGATGTCCTGGGTATGGAAGGTGCTCCCTTTCCATTTATAAGGAATACTAATTTCTATTTACTCTACCCAAACATATGAAGCGAGATAGCCATGAAACTCTGTTAGCATTCCTTATTATCTTTGTCATTATTATTATTATCATTTAGAATGTTCCAACATAATCCACAGTGCTTTACAATTATACAGTGGGGATATATAGTATAAAGTAACGTTATATGTAATATGTGGTATTTATGTAACGAGAGTTGTTATCTAGTAAGATAAGCTTTTTTAATAAGATGAGTTTTAAGGGATTCTTAAAGGTATGGCAGCCAGGGTAAAGTGTGATAGGATGAGGTGAAAGACTGGCAGACATTATTGAAAGATTAAAGGAAAAATGAAATTGATATTGCCAGGTTCAAACCTGCCAGAGCACAAGTGTACTATTCACAGTGATTGGGCTATAGTTATCAGGAGAGAATATTAATAGCTCAGCTATTGTTACTATGGCTGTTCTGGGGCCGAAGGAGAGGTTTCATGGAATTCTTAGTTAAAGGGACACTCCAGTGTTTTCCTGGCACTGCAGGTACCTTCTCCCTCCCACCACCCATCCCATGAGGGACATCGGCAGGGGTCTCACTTACCTGGGTTAGACGCCCACGCATTAGACCTCTCCATAGGAAAGCATTGAAAATGCTTTCAATGCTTTCTTATGGGGAATTGAGCGACGCTGGAGGTCCACACATAGCGTGAGGACGCCCAGCGACGCTCTAGTACAGAAAACCTTATATTATATGATCATAAATTGCAATCCGTTTTCCTGGCACTGCAGGACCCCTCTCCCTCCCACCTCCCAATCCCTGATTGCTGAAGGGGTGAAAATCCCTTCAGTCACTTACCAGAGGCAGCGACATGTGCCACGTCGCTGCTTCTTCCTCCTCCGCCGCCGCTCCTCCTCTGCATTACGTCGGCCGGTGGGCGTTATTGATCCCGCCCGCCGGCCGGGGAGACCTAATGCGCATGCGCGTCAATGCAGCGAATGCGCATTAGAGCTCCCCATAGGAAAGCATTGGAAATGCTTTCTTATGGGGAATTGAGCGACACTGGAGGTCCTCACACAGCGTGAGGAAGTCCAGTGACGCTCTAGCACAGAAAATCTGTGCTAGAAACCAGGAAGTTCCCTCTAGTGGCTGTCTTATAAAACTGCAAGTTTATAAAAACTGCAATAATTACAGTTGCAGGGTTAAGGGTAGTGGGAGTTGGCACCCAGACCACTCCAATGGGCAGAAGTGGTCTGGGTGCCTGGAGTGTCCCTTTAAATCTTTTTAACTCTTGATTGGGCATTCTGAATGATGGTACTACCTTATGTTTTGTGCTGTTTTTTGGGGGGTAGGGGCATTTAAGGGTGTGCCTGCAAGTGCCCAAGTAGGAAAGGCTGCCCTTTTTCTGACTCAGCCAGATACATCTGTATGATATGCATGGTGATTTTGTTTTGAAGTCTGTTGAACTTCAGGTTTCCGTTACATTGTAAATATTTTGTATTGTATTGTAGCTATTCTTAAATACCCCCTTGAGGAACGACTATGTTTGCTCATTTATGTTTCTTTATATTACAGATAACATCAAATGAAAAGCATTTGGAAAGTATGAAGACTGATGGGGATGTGCTCATTCAAACTCTTAAAAGACTGTCTCAGGATTCCAGGTGAGTGGCCTCAGGCAAACAGGAATGATCACATCCTAAAGGGGCAGATTTAACCCCTTAAAGACCATTGTCAGAATAACCCCAGCATAGCAATCCGGTCTTTAAAGATCCTATATCAAAGTGGTATGTCCCAATCATTGAGCAGCTGCAGGGTTGTATAGAGCTGCCATTGCCAAATATTGCGGAAATGCAATATGCAGTCTGAAACTCTTTGCCTGTCTGAGCTAATTTGCATGTCAAGCTGGGAATTGTGTTATAGTTGTCGAAACATGATTTCTTAAGCTTCTATGCCCAAGAAGGAATTCTCAAAGTCCAACTTGAGCTGATGATACATAACAATGATTTCTGTATTTGCACCGTTTTTTTTTTGTTTTTTTTTATTTGGTCTTACCACAATCTCTTTGGTACCTAACTATTGCCAAATAAGAAAGTCATTCCATATTGGTCTAAGCCTTTTAGGAATTATATGAAGCTATGGTACATCAATGGGATTAATTAAATGGTTAATATAGACAACAAGGTACCTGCTGATATCATAGTATTTTTGTAATTTTTTTGTGAAAAAATAAGTGGATTATGTGACAAGTAGTATTTTGAAATGCAATGCCCATCAAGCATTATACTGGAATGCTTTTTATAAGAACATTAGACTTCTTACTGAATAGGGATATGCTTAGAATGCAGCATAAATTAAAGGGACAGTATAGGCACCATGACAACTTAATCTAAATGAAGTTGGTATGGTACCTTATGGTGTTAGGAGGCACCTGGACTCACTCTTCCCTAAAGGGATTAGACCATTTTCAAATGGTTTAACCACAAGGTTGCCTACTGCACCTAT